TGAGGGACCCAGGGCTGAAAGATCCTATCTGATTTAGTGGCTGGACCTGCCTAACTCTGGGAAGAAATAACAATAAACAAGTCCTTTCAACAAGATATCTAAAGTCATATTCTCCAATCAGTTTCAGCAACAGTAAAAAGTATATTTTCACATTTGCCATCTACTTCTGCACCCATGTTCCATTTAAATCTAAACTTAGAAGAGAAAAAAAGAATGTTTCTGCATGTGTCCTGCAAACTGAAAATGTGATGCAAAAAAACCCAAAAAACCAAAACTCAGTGGTAATTTTGGAAGTGGTCAAAGAAATCTCCAAGTAAGAGGATTGTTAAGTGGTAAATAGCAGAAAATAAGAAAAATAAAGGATAGATCCCAGAAATGTAGTATACAAATAAAGAACCAGGAAGAGAAAAAAGATGAAAGGAGGGCATAAAATCATCAGAGAAGTAAGAGATCTTTCCAGAATTGAAAGACATGGGTTTCTGGAAAGAAGAGGCCTACAAAGAGTTGAAAGCAAAATACCAGCACCAATGTATATCATAATAAAATGTTAAAACATTGACTACGAGAAGATTACAAAACTTTCCAGAAGGGAGGATAGCAAATATTATACCCAGAATCCACAAAAATTCAAGTTTCCAAATATTAATGGTGGAATTTAGAAGACAATGGAGCAACACTATCAAATTTTGAGAGAAAATTATTTCCAACTTAGAGTTCTATAATTAGTAAAAAGAAGATATTACCAGACATGAAAGCTACAAAATTTAGCTTTCATTCAACCTTTCATGAAAGGCCCCTGGAGGATGTACTCCACAAAAATAAAGAAAAGGGGCCGGGGATTTAACTCAGTGGCACTGCGCCTGCCTCACAAGCGCAAGGTCATGAGTTCAATCCCCGGTACCAAAAATAAATAGATAAATAATAAATTTAAAAATAAAGAGAAATACACAGGAATCTATCTTAAGAGAGAGGTGATATGAGTCCTAGGAAAACACTAAAGAATGAGCCCAGAATAATAACTGTACAGTATGCCCTGAAAACAACTAAACTAAAGCAGCTCAGGAACTTAAAACAGAATTAGGTGATTTAGCTGCAAATCCATACAAAACTTAGCAGAAAACAGTAGTGCAACAAAGAAAATGTCATCATAGTAGCCTACGTGGCTCCACTATAAATAGCACTTTTAAATGAGAATAATATTGATACTAAATATGTGCTAACCAAAAACTTTAACACAACCATATCAGAAAAGAAAGCTTGTGTGTGTGGTTAAGAGACAGTAGAAGAGAACTCAATCATCATTTCCCTTTGGAATACCAAGAGATAAGACCTGAAATTGAAAATATCAAAAGTAGCATGTTAGAGATAAAAATACAAATAGAAGAACCACTCAAAAGGCAAATATCTACAGGAACAGCTACAAAAGTTGAAGATCGTTGCTTCTAGAAAGTAAGAAATGGGGACTTGGAGACAAAAGTTTTCCTAATAAGACTTGTGTGATTTTCTAACTTTATATAGTTATATACTCATTTTAAAAAAAAATAAATTCTAATTGTTTCCAAACAAAGGATTTCTCTGGCTCTTTCTACATACATAGCAATAGATATCATTTGTAAAGTGAGACACTTTATTTTTGTTATTCACAAAACTGTCTATTCCAAAGGCCTTTGGAATTTCCACACTGAAGCCTACAGTGCTTCTGTCTTTCTGGCACTATGCGCTGGCCCTTTTACACTTATCATGGGTTCTCTGCCTTAAAATTGTGCTGATCATATCACTCCTTCTTTTACTCTAGACTACCAAAAATAAATGATTCTTAAAAACTAGTATCTCTATAGTCATTATGCAAGATAAGATTAATGACATGTTAACTAAAAGAATAACTACAGTTAATACAAAACTGTTTGTGTATAGAATACATCTAGTTCTGCACCTGGTAACATATATAAATGAAACGATTACTCACTTTCATAGCTTGAAAAAATATCTAATTCTATGTCTGTCTTTTTTTAAATACTGAGGAATATTGAGGGCAGTCCACTGTATAAGTGAATCCATTTTAAATGAAGAACGATTTTTAAGGTATTCTGAGGTGTGTGTATTTCAGTGATTTTAGCTAAAGACATGAAAGAGAAAACATGTTTTTAAATTATTGACTTAGATGACAAATCCCTAAGATGACAGACTAATTAATGCCCCTTAGTTTTTTTCTACAGTATAGCACATAACCAAATGAAAATTGAGTCATATTATTACTGTATTTGAGATGGTGTCAGTTTTTACCAAGAAAGAGATTCAAATATTCATAATTTGGTTTTAAAGATGACCTGAAGACCAAAATATGCTAAAAATGTTCTCTCCAAAAGAGGATTAAAGCATACTCTAGGTCATGGTGATTAAGAAGGAATTTTTCAAAGGCAGAAATACTGTCAGTTACATTTTTACACTTGGGTGAACAAAAATCAGGATCACCAAGTATCAGCTCGAAGAGCCCTTATTCTCCTGACTCCTTGTTTCACAGAGGAGGAGATTCAGGCTCAGAGACATTCAGTGGCTTGTGCAGGCCACAGAGCTGTAAGTAGAGACTGAACTCCTGAGGCATCTGCTTTTCTACCCAAGGTTCCTTCTCATGGCTCAGTCTCCCTTCTAGGGAAAGGGGGTGATATATATACACATCATCCCTACAGTGAAGCAGCTTGTTTATTTATTGATCCCTTAGGAGGGCTCAGACACTGTGTCAGCGCATTCCATGGGTGAGCTCCTCGAGCCCTCCAACACCAGGAAGCCGTGCGTGTTCCCCCTACACCACTTCACCTGAAGAGCCCAAGGCACAGAGCTCAACAGCAGCTCAAGATCTGCCAGCTGGTGAGTGGCCGAGCCGAAAACTGCTCTGAAAGCATGTACTGAATCCCTGTTTAACACATTAACTGCTTATTATGAAGTAAAGACTCAATGTGTTCCTAGAAGATCCCCTGAGAAAGCTTGTCATCAAGCAGCTTTCCTCAGAGTAAGAGACTGGGGGGCAGGCAGGTGCAGTTTAGGGGAGAAATTATTTTGTTTCCTGAATATCTGCCAGATCACTCTTGGAAACGTGTTTTAGAGCAAGAATCATAAAACTGTAGCCTTAACACCAGTAAAATATAAACATCAGCCCAGCAAACTTTCACCACTAAATTCAAAGTTGGATTAAAAAAAAAAAGCAAAGAGACTTGGGAACATCTAGGAGGCTTTGAGAATTTGAAAAATAAAAATGCAGCAATAGAAGGCAGTACAAATCCTCTGAAGCCTGAGGCATAGCGGCCCGCAGGCTCTGCCACCGTCATGTCCCTTGACCTCCATTGAGAGGCTGAGAGGCCCTTTGGCCTCCATTTGCCCTCATCTGGGCAGACAGATGCCCTTGGCCTTCACCGGGCCAAGTGAGCTGAAGCCCGGGGGACCAACAGGGCAATGGAAGTGCAGCCGTTTCTGCAAACCACGGATCTCACAATTAAGGAGACACACCCCCATCCGCAACCGAATCTCTAAAGTCCAGAGCTGAAGGAGTAGGTTCGGGGGGCCCAGAACAGCTGAAGGCGTGCCGGACGCTGCGGAACTCCGGGTACTGGGAGTGTGGAGACAAGGAGCCCCGGGGCTGGCGAGTGGGCAGCCGCCGATGGACACAAATGCCCTTTTTCATAATCAGCTTAACTGGCAGGGATTCGGCGCAGACACCCTGGAGTTCGAGCGCTCAAAGCCAGCCTGTACTCCCATGGTCAAAACCCCCTGCCTCTTGGCTCCCACGGGTGCGTTCACTCGAGTCCCAGGTGGCCATGTTGAAAAGGGCGACGGCTGGAGCTCTTCTGCCCCGTCTCACCTGTTTCTGAGGCTCCTGGCCTCAGGCTGCGCTGTCCCCCACCGCTAGTGCTCAGCCGGGCCAAGTCATGGATAAACCCTTCACCTGGCTCAGCCCTGCTTCCCTTGGGTCTCACCCGGGTGGCACCGGGGTCCCGGAAGCTTTCCCCCGAGTTGCGCCGGGGCATTCCAGGCGCGTGCGCTCGGAGGAAAAGCAGAGGCGGGCGGAATCCCCAGCGCTGATCACCCCAACCGTGACTCCGCCGAGAGAAGCGCGCTATGCTGGGCTTCCAGCCAGCCTTCCCACAGCCTACACCGAAGTAAAACGGGCCGCGCTGGGGGCTTCCCGATCACCTATCCGCGACCATCCGCTCCCTGTAGCGGCAGCCACCAACCCAACCCAGCATGGCGCTTTGTCCGGTTCGGCGATTATTTCAAATCCCCAAAGACTCCCGGAGGAAATGCGAGGGGGGACCCGCAGGTGGAGAGGAGGTTCAACGCCCCTTTCTCCAGGAGCGCGCCCCGCAAAGCCCAGTTCTGGGAGCTTTGCAGACTGCCCTGACGAACGCACAAGGGTGTCGCCTGAGTCCAAACACAGCGAGGCATTTTTGTGGAAAGCACAGAAGCTTGTTTATAACTGCAGGAGCCGTGGAAGGAATGAGAAGAGTGTTACAATGAGCCTTTAAAAGAAACCTAGGTTCTGTGGCAAGAGCAGCCGGGGAAGCCGGGAGGCCAGGGACAGCTAGAGGAGGTACGCGGCTGCAGAGCGTCCAGAGGCTTCCGCACCAAGAGGGGCGCGCTTCGGGAATGGGCTGGGCCACAAGTTCTTTCGTATTTGGCGCGGGTCGTGCGCAGGTCGTGCGCCCCTGATTGTGAGTCCCCCGCGGACCGAGCGGGAATAAGGGGGAGGCGGCAGGCAGTTTGACAGCACCTGTTAGAGGGGGGCACGTGATCGGCGGGCTCAGACATCCCCTCGCCCAGGGTCCTCTCCAGGACCGTCTACTCTAGGTGCCCCCTCTACCGCGACCGCTCACCGAGCTCGAGGATGGGCAGCGCAACACAAGTGAGACCCCCGCGCGCGCTCCCGGCCTCAGCTCCCTCTGGGGCCGCAGAGGACAGCGGAGGTCGGTTGGGTTAGGGCCCGGGGACCTGGACGCGCTCCCGCTCACCTCTCTCACTGGCCTGCATGTAACGCACGATGTCCTCCAGGTCCAACTCTTTGGTGTCGTCGAAACTGTAGGTGGACGTGTGCAGACCCTCCTCCTGGAAAACCCCGTGGACCCCCTCAAGGGTGAAGTAGCAGTTGCGCTCCAGCTTGTCGTCGGTGTAGACCAGCGCGGCGCGGCTCCATTGGTGGTGGCGGAACAGGGCGAGCATCATCTCGCCCATCTTGGCGTAGGCAGGCGCCACGCGCGTAAGGTGCGAGAACTCGGCGTCCTTGTGCCGGAAGCCGGCGGCCAGGGCTCCCGCCGACAGCATGGGCAGATCCCAGTGCGACGCCAGCCGGGCCACCGGCGCCGCTGCGTACTCGCACACCGGCCCCAGGATGAGGTCGGGCTTGGTGCCCCGCGCCGCCGCCACGCGGTCCACCAGGCTGAAGAGCGCGCGATTGCCGCAGTCCGAGTCCTCGTAGGCCACCTGGAAGCGAGTGCCCGGCGGCAGAAGCCTCCGGCCGGTTCCATTGCCCTCCACGCTGCGGAGCGCGTACTCGATGGCCGGCCGCACGCGGGCCAGCGAAAACAAGTAAGAGTCGTCCTGGGGCAGCAGCACCAGCACCTCGATCTCCTGGGGCGGCAGCGCCTCTCTCTCCCGGCGCCCGCCGCCCCGGCCCGCGCCCCCGCCGCCCGTGCCGCCGGCCAGCAGCGCCCAGCCGAGCAGGACGTGCGCGGAGAAAGTGAGCGCCAGCAACGGGGACGGCATGGTGCCGCGACCCTCGCCGCCCTCTCCGCCCGCTGGCCCTCTGCCCCCACGCACCCTGCCGCCTTCCTCCCCACTCTCCTGCCTGAGGTCCCTGCGCCCCCTTGGGCACTCTAAGAAAATGCCCCTTTCGCTAACGCCGAAAGACAGTAAGAATCCTCTGCAATGTCACTAGCATAAAAAAGAAGAAGAAAAAGTTCACCAAGTGTAAACCTGTGCGTCTGTAATATACCTGTATACTATTATAAATATATATTCGCCCTTCCTTTATGCATATGCTGTTTTGCTTAGAGGTGGCTTCTTATTTGGGCGTTGCTAAGGTTGCCTTTGAAAGGCTATTTGCAAAAGAAAAAAAAAAAAAAAAAGACTTGTCCAAGTGTTTGTAATTGACGGTGCATCTCCTTCGCGTGTGATCTCATTGATTCGCAGGGGTTCCCGGATCCATAGCCCGCGTTTAAATAGCGTGGCCTCGGCGGAGCGCGTTACCACACAAGGCGCGCCGTCGCCGGGCCCGGGTTCCGGGGCGGGGGGCTGGGCCGGGGAGCCGCTCGTTAGCACTCTGACATCAGGGCTCCTCCCCGCACCCCTTCCCTGCCCACCGCTCCCCGTCCCTAACCCCCACCACCCGCGTGCCCCTCTGCCTCCCCTTAAAGCCGCCGCCGCCCACGTCCGCACCCGCTGGAGCCCCCGCAGCGCCGCTCGCCTCTAGGGTCCCCGCCTCTCCCAGGCCATGCCCTCTGCAGCTCTGGGCTTTAAAAAAGGAAATGTGTTTGAAGAAACGCGCGGGCGCGTACACACGCTCAGAGGCGAGGACACACACGCTGCGGCGGGAGGCAGGAGTGAGGAAAGGAGTAGTCGTCTAAAGTGCCACGCTCGGTGCAAAAATCCACAGGTCCCGCCGGTCTCACTTCTTCCTTGCTCTGGCCCCACGAACTCCCGCCTCGCGGACTGGGGTTGACCGGGCACCTGACCTTCCCGGTCGCCGGCTCAGGGTCAGGGAACTGGGATCGAGTCCTTCGCGGGCTGGCCGCTTCCCGCGCCCCTGCCCACCCCGGGCCTACGCCAGCCCCCTCCCTCTGGGCCTCGCGGGGACCCCGGAGTTGCAGCGCCGCCGGGGTCCCCGCGCCCTCGCTCACAGACCCCCCGCCGGCGCGCGGAAAGCCTGAAAGGGAAACTTGTTGCTCCCAAAAGCGTGCGAAGGTTTCGGCTTCTAAGGGTGTCAGAAAGCTTGAAAGGCATCTCCAACTCATCCTCGGGGCTCTGGGGCTAAGCCAGCCAACCCAAAACCTCCCTCGCAGGGTCCCCCTCCAACCCGACCGCTCGGAGATCAAGAGCTTCTTTCGGGTCCGGGCTGCGCAAGTCAAGCTGCTCCAGACGCTGCGATGCCAAGAAAGGTGCTGCCTCGGAGGCTCTGTCCCGCTCCGGTCACCGCCACAGCGGCCGCGCCGAAGTCCGGCGCCGGGGGAGCGTCGCCGGAGCTCTCCGCGCAGCGGGGCAGCTCGGAAAGAAGCCAGACCCTCTGTAGGTGGTTACACACAGAAGCCATGTGCAACGCAAATGTGCTACGCTGCACGAGAGAATTCCGACGCTCAAATCCCGCAAATTAAAATAAATTCAAAATGTTTTAAACTGTTCTTTCATTTGGGCGTCTGGGTTCACAGATTTGTTAGTCATAAACCTACGCCCTCTTTCGGCAGAAACTCGCACTGACTCTTTCCACCGCTCCAGGAGCTGCTCCCACCCACCCCCAGCCACCCCCGCCCAGCCCTAAATCGGCCCAGCTGTCCTTTGTGACCCTGAAATGGCAAACAGAGGTTTCCAGAGATGTGGCGGCTTGGGCACTGGGCCTCCTCGCCTTTAACAGCACTCTCCTTATCGCTCTTTCTGACATCCTAACTGTAATTGTGGGTAACGTTTCATCCTCTGGGTCATTTAGGTTTCAGATTATGCACTAGAATCCCTAAATTTTCACTATAAGTAGGAGTATACTAACTCTTGAGAGAACTTTCATTTATTTAATTAGAGCTGCTAACCAGTAGTAGAAGAGGCATCTATGAGAAAATGTAATTCCACAAGCAGAGTAATCCACACACACTGGAAATTGAGATTTAGTGCTTCACAGCAATTAACTCCTTCCTGAAGTCGTAGGAGGGCAGGCGTTGTCTATAACATCATAGTTATAGTAATATTTTTTTTACAAGACAACAGGACAACAGCTAAATTCTCAATTCCAAGAGTCTTAATGGATTTCAGCAAGTTGCCAGGAGACGAGAAAAACCAAGGTTTTCTGTTACTGCCAGCTATGCCCGGTATCTGGGAACAGCAGCCAGTGGAGATATGATTCTGCAGTGTGTGGTATGGACTCACTCGGAGAGTCTGAGTTTCAGTGGCACTGGGTGTGAATCCCACTCGCATCTCAGGCGCTGCCCAGCCTCGCCCACGGGTCGACAGCAGGGCAGTGCGACTATGTTAGGGTGAGCGCCGCAGTCGCCTCGTGCGTGTCCTCTGGACAGGAGCTCTTCCACTTTCAGCCTGTGGCAAAGGAACATGGACAGGACGGAGTGTGGCCGGGAAGAGGCCCCAAACTAGACCGCAGGAGAAAAGCCAGTGTTAAGAGTCTGCCCGTGCCCAAAACATCCCTTTTAAATTCCAAGAGCAGAAAGCAGGGTTTTTAATAAAAATTTTCAAATGCAAACAGGCACAAGGTTATGAAAAGGCTCACCAACTAGTATATGGATGTTAATGTTGTGGATTTGTTTAATTCTATTAAAGCAAACTTTTTGCAGTCAACTGAAAGCGCCTAAGTATCACGGAGTTCTGCAATTTTGAAGTCCTAAAAGACCTACGAAATCACCCAGGCCAGGCCTAGTAGCACACACCTGTGATCCCAGCACTCTGGGAGGCTCAGGTAAGAGGATCACAAGTCTGAGCCCAGCTTGGGCAAATTAGTCACAGCAAGGCTGTCTTAAAATTTATAAAAAAAAAAAAAAATTAAAAAGGGCTGGGGAATGTAGGTCAGCGTGAAGACCCCGGGTTCAATGAGAGAGAGAGAGGAATGAAAACAAAAAAAGAAAGAAATCTCCAAGCCTGGCATTCTCTAGTTGAAGAATTGAGGCCCAAAGAATATAGATGATATACACAAATATTGCTGTGTACCCTGAGAATATTTTTAAATAAAATAAACTATGTAGTACCTATTATACCAAGTAAAAGAGGATTGTGGACAAAGCTAACTGCCACTTTAACATTCTTTGTATCAAAATTTTATCTTATATTTAGCTAGGTATTCAGGCTACATGGCAGACTAAAGCTGAAAATAGTATCATTTTATAATAAAACTTTTGTTACACTTTTAAAAGTTAAAGCAAAACAAGAAAGAAGGAAGAGGAAAAATAGGAATAATATCTCTTGAACTCAATTTTTAAACATTACTCTTTTTAAATTCTGTAAAACATGAAATGAGGGAGAAAAAAAGCCCTTTTCCACTTTCAAAAAAGCAAAACACTAATCTTTTCACTCGGTGCATCCTTTCTGGACTCAATTGTTGAAGGAAAACAAAAAACTAAGTTATGGAGAAATCCTACAAAATAAAATTAGGCAATTGAAAGCCTAAAGGACAATGCTCATGTGATAATACAGAAATTCATGGACCTTCTGTAGAATTTAGAAATGTTTTCAACAACATACTCAAACCATGAATTTTTTTTACTTTAATCTACTAAAATGTTTTCTAGAAAGTATTCAGTTGCTTAGTTTCCAGCTGTGTGAAATGAAATTTGTACCCATATGTTACTCTACTACTACCAGGAAAAGCAGCAGCATACACAGAAACTAACATGTGATTCTTTGAAATGTAGTAGAAATGCTATCAGAAAGTTTTCTCCACCATCTGTAAGTTTCTGTAACTCTTCTCCCTCAGAATCCTGTATGCAACCTCAAAAGTAAGCATCCATCAGATTTTCAAAGAGCCTCTTTTTCTTTGTCCAGCCAGCTCTGAAATCACACTAAAGACCACTCCTGTGAATCATGTGGCCCACAAGAAAATACCTTCTGAGGACAGAACTGTTGAAAATACACTTCCCCCTAGAGGCAGAAAAGATGAAAGGACATTACACATAAGCCAAACATGTTTCTGTAATTGAAGGAATATCGAGATTCTCATTTTTAAAATAGAGTTGATGTTTCCAAAGGAACTATTCAATAAATGGAAGAAAAATCAATGCACACAAACAAATTAAAACTTTGCCTCTAGGTTTTAGCTTTCCTTGCAGAGACTCTAATAATTGAGCCCTTTTCCTCCATTACATTTTTGCCAGTACTATGAATAATACTAATTATGTATTTTTATTTAGGTTTATGATTCATTTTCATCAGAAACTGCAACTTTGTGCCTTTGACAAGGCTTCTGTGTTACCATCCTCTTAGATTTCCATCCACAATAGTCTTATTTTCATTTGTTTGAAGAGGTTCTGAGACAAAGTAACACTTGAAAGACTCCTAAAAAATGTATTGCTGGTCTGTGACTTAACTTCAGTACTGGCATAGGAAATGCAAGCATGTGCATTATACATTTACAGACAAGTTACTTAATGTAGATTATCACATTACAAAATCAAACATTACATCAAAAAGCAAGTGTGTGTGCCTCAACTTCATGGACAGTAATACTTTTTTTTTTTTAGTTGTACACTGTGTTCTTCAAAAAAAATATTTGAGAAGCCACATAAATATATGAAATGGAATTTTAGAGCACTTTGCTTGGGCAACAGGCACAGGGTTCTATTTCCTCCTGTAGCCTTCAGCAACAGCCCTAAGCCTCAGAAATATTCTGCTCCCCCATCTGAGATTCAGCAGCATTCCTAGAGTTCATGATCACAATGAATTGCATTTCTATTTATAAGGAAGAAATATATCTGAATTGGGATCCGGTCTCCAGAGCAGAGTGGAGTACTGTGGAAAGAACACACATTTAGAAGCCTTACAAGCAAGTCTGCAGATTATCATAGAACTTATTTGACCTTCAGTTCTCTTTCTCTCTCTTTCTCTCCCCCTCTCTCTCCCTCTCTCTCTCTCTCTCTCCTGAACCCCAGACATTCACACTGAACTAATCCACAGCCCCTTTTGCATTTTTTCTCTTTGAGACAGGGTCTCACTAAGTTGCCCAGGCTGGGCTCAAACTTGCAACCCTCCAGAATGCTAGAATTGCAGGCATGTGCCACCATACCAGGCAATTTTCTCATTTTTAAAGTGGAGATATTGCACTGGTGTTGTAGAAGTAAATGTAAGAAAAAGCAAAAGCTAAATGCTATAGGAAATTAATAAACACCACCTCTTGTTAGGACATTTTCTTCGATGTCTGGTTAAAAAAAAATAACACCAAGTAAATGTTCAATAAATGTTTATGGAATGAATGAATAAGTGAATACAAAACTCCAAAAACTGTGATCCATGTGTAACTTGCTTGGAATCATCTACTGCTTGATTACAACACACCTTATTTTATAATAGTTGTTTGTTAACAGTGGCTTTCCTGAGGGAACCATTTTGGCAATCACTTTGACTCTGGCTCTGGATTCCCAACCTCAGGTATTTCCTAGTAAGCTTGAGACAAG